AGGAGCCAAGTTTACACCTGTCTTATGAATCTTTTGTGAAGCTTTCAAAAAAATTAAATAAAAAAACTTGTCTTGACCAAACCATACAATTTTAAGACAATTAACTATTTTTGTCTTAAAAGAAATTTTTTAAAAAATGGGACACAAACGTTAGTTTTGCTCTCATCTTCTTGAAAATGGTCTTCCCACCCTGTCTGATAAAAGTATTCTCTATTGAAGCCACTAGTGAACACAATAAAGCCCATTGCGGTCGTTATCTCAAGTGCCGACTTGAGCGAGAACAATGTACGTTAAATTGAGTGTGAACGGAGCTTTTTGTTGTGGGGGGTGGTCTTTTTGTTACCCTCTCCTTAGCCCCATCTTTAGCTTCAGCACAACCTGCCTGGAGAAAACAGAAGGGAGTTTCTAATTTACCATCAACACCACTTCTAAACACAAAACCAGCCTTTTAGCAGCTTTAGAAGTAGGCCTGTCCTGATAAGTAATAAATCAATTAATAGCGCAATGAATTAAAATTAAATCTGTAATTTTCATTTGGCCTGTTTTTTTTTTTTGTCTCCCTCTTTTCTTCTCCTTGGCATAGGGAGGAGTGAACTCTCACGTCAAGTATTTGCCAGGCACATGGTCTCGTACCCTCTGCAGTGTGAGACATCACCTGTGGGCCTTGAGGGGATCTACTACCATTTTCCAGAAAAAAAAGTCAATTCACTGTCCCCATGCAGATATAAAAACAAACCTGTGTGTGAGTGTTTAACACGATTGAAGCAGACTTAGGTCTGTGCGGTGATTTGGCGCAACTGTCTTGTGAACGAGGCTTTGGTATAAAATCATCTTCAAACAATAATACTGTTTTTTGCAATAATTTATGAGACAATTTATTGTCCAGCAAAATTTGTTATCGTGACAGGCCTATTGAGAAGTAGCCTGGCCCTTGCCTTCAGTTCCACTCAGTTCTAGTTTCCCTTCACTGCTCCGTCTGGGACTTCTCCCATAAGGATTTCGCTGGCATATTTTCAGCCGAACCAATCAGAGAACAGAACGTCAATTATCTGCGCAGTGTCTGCTTGTAGTTTATTTTATCTGGGCCAATCAGCAAACAGAAGGCGGAGTTTTGAACGACGTCGATGTTCTGCGCAGTGTCTGCTAGTTATTTTAGCATTTGGCAGTGGAGGAAGTGAATGAAGCCAGTCCGTGTTGATAGGGCTTCCAAATTAAATTACATTTGTCTGACAAAGCAGCAGCTCTCATTTACAGTCGTCTCGTTCGGCTCAGTACATTTCTTCTCTCAGTAGGGTTGTTCACAGTGCACGCAATTTCCGGTTAGCTTCCTAGCTTAGCCTCCTTCACAGCGACATACAGCAGGTAAAATAAGTATTGAACACGTCACCATTTTTCTCAGTCAATATATTACTAGAGGTGCTAATGACATGAAATTTTCACTAGATGTCARTAACAACCCAAGAGATCCATACATACAAAGAAATCAAACATAAATGTCCAGAAATTAAG